ATACCCTAAACCCCTAAACCGCTAAACCCTAAACCCTAAACCCTATATATATATATATACACCCCCAAGACCCGTTTTCTGATTATTGAGGCATCAGAGCCCGGAAGCTTCACTGAGCAGGGGTCATTTGGGCTTCTATGATTTCGGGGTAGCAGATGATAGGAGGGTACTGCTTTGGTTTAGGGTTTGGGGTTTGGGGTTTAGGGGTTTAGGGGTTTTAGGGTCCCCCCTAAACCCTAAACCCTAAACCCTAAACCCTAAACCGCCAGGGTTTAGGGTTTAGAAAGCCCAGGGTCTGGGAGGAGCAAACTTCAAAACCCCCTGACGCCCAACTTGGTAGCTGAAGGAGTCAATGAGTACGCTTTGCACTTTTGGGGGATAATATGATCCCCTATAGAACTGAGAGTGTACGCCTTTTTGGTGTTATGAACTCAGCAACTAAGCCAACAAAACTCAACACAGAGCTCCAAGCAAAAAGAAGAGGGATGCTCCCGTGCTTTTGGCTGTGCAGGTGCCAGCCGGCATCTTCCCAAGGACGTTTTGAGTGGGTCTAGGTTCTTGTCTAAAACATGTTAGAGTCGAGGACTTTTATTAATGTGGTGTTTTAGATGTTGCGGTTTTCTACCACGGGAATTCACTATGGTCCGCAGTATTGCATTTATTGTAATCTGGTGTGCGATGGCGGCGTGTACGTTCGAGATATGTAGTTTCTGCTTGCTGTGGTTGTTTCTACACTGCTGTGTGGTGTCTTTCCGAAACAAAAGGCAGTTTCTTCTTGCTGTGGCTGGTGTACTAAGACACTGGAGCGGAGGGGGAAGTGTCGATCCGTTTTCAGAATGTGCTACTGTATGTTGTTTTGTGCTATGTTGTTTTTAAATATTGCAATCAAGAGCCATCGTGCCCTGCTCGTATATAATCTACACATGTCTGTCATGGTCATGAAGCTGATTTCATCAGGATACAGTCATTGTAACGCACTCTTGTTTAACTTCTTCATGTCAGCATGTCGCGACATGTTACTCAAGGTTGGTCTGTAGCGACCGAAAATTCGCATTTGCATGCATACATGCATACGCATACATCATACATACATGCATCGTACATACACACATTCATCTATACATGCCTACATACATACATACATGTACGCAGTCATACTGCATCGTGTAGTTGTCAGAGAAAATTTGACAAGTCAACATTCCGAAAGAAGATCCCTCTTGCTTGCTCGCGCTCTCTCTATGTATTGTAATGCGTATATCCTGAGGCCTTGGTTCTTGTGGTCTTGCATTAAAAAAAGTGATAACTATAGATTAAGTTTCCCTTCAAAAACAAGCTGTCTGCTTGGGAACATGTTGTGGTTTGGAATGTCCTGGTCTTACCATCGTGCCGGAGCGACTGCGCTTGAAACGAATACAGGCAGGAAAACCCTGTGGCAGACTCGCAGAGGATGGGGCAGAATCGTAGACCCTAAACTCAACCCCAAAACCCTACCTAAACCCATGCCACAACGAGCCCATAACGAACCCGAACCCGAACCCTTACCCCCTCCCCCTCATGGAGATTTGAAGCCTACGTGCAGTCCGAGTTGCTAGAGTACGGCCCCAGACTAAACTTGACCACTGTTCTTTCCATCGCGTGGGACCATGGTTCAATTTTAACACTCACCAGCCTGGGTTCAACATTGAGGAGATGCTCTACTTCGATAATGTATTAGCTTCGTGTATTAGTGGTAATTAGATATACGTAGCCGAAAATGCTGTCTTGGTGAGGTAGCTATTCAGCAGTTTCAGATGTTTAGCAAGAGTTCAACACATCCTCAACCCGCGACCCTTCACGAAACGAAGCAAGCACAACAACAGTCAACTTCCCTTTTCTCTTGTAGTAGAGTAGGTGACCTTTAACCTTTTTGGGGGTACTATATTCCCTAGAAAACCCACTATCTTCCCAAGGGTTAGAGTTTTGCCTCTTCTGCAACCCTAAACCTTAAATAAACCCCAAACCCTAAACCCTAAACCCCAAACCCTAAACCCTAAATCCTAAACCCTAAACCCTAAACCCCAAACCCTAAACCTAAACCCTAAACCCTAAATAAACCCCAAAACCCCAAACGGCCAGGACCCATGGCTGAGCTTTGGGGTCACGCGCGGCCCAAAGGCTCGGAAGCGCTGCCACAGCGACTTTCGCCGGGCGTTGTGGACGTGCTGAGGGTTTAGGGTTGAGGGTTTAGGGCTTTGGGTTTGGGGTTTTGAGTTTTGGGTTTAGGGTTTAGGGTTTGGAGTTTTAGGGTTTTGGTTTTGGGTTTTTGGGTTTAGCAAGGGTTTGGGGTCTTGGGTTTAGGGTTCTGGGGTTTAGGGTTTATAGGGTTTAGGGTTTATTGAGGGTTTAGGGTTGAGGGTTTAGGGTTTAGGGTTTAGGGGCTTAGGGGTTTAAGGTTAGGGTTTAGGGTTTAGGGTTTGGGGTTTAGGGTTTAGGGTTTAGGGTTTAGGGTTTGGGTTTTTTGTTTTGAGTTTAGGGTTTAGGGTTTACTATAGTGGCCTATTATTAAGTACCAGTTGTGGGGGTTCCTTAGTATAATTACAGTATAATGGGCCCCCAAACCCTATTCCAATTATTAAGGCCCCTTTCTTAGGGCCCTAGCCCAAGTTTTGGGCCGGTCAGAAACAGGAGAGCAACAACATCCGAGTTTCACAGTGTTTCACGAAAGGTCCTGACATCTACAGGGTAAATCTCTTGAACCAGTAGATATTCAGAGCTACAAGTAAACCCTCAATCCCCTTAAAACCCATGAATGCCGTATGCAAACACCCCTAAGCCCCAAACTTCCTAAGCCCCCTGAAATCCTCAACCCCCACATCCCAAGCCAAAATCTGTGAACTCCAAGCTCTAAACTGTGTGAGCCCTGAAGTCGTTGATGCCCAATCTGAGGTTTCCCAGCAATACCCTTTTGCCTGTTTTGTATAGGGGTCTAATTATCAACATCGAATAATGGAAAGAAAGGGTGCCCTGACCTGGGCCATAATTTTATGTACCTGCTTCAGGAGGTCGAGGTATTTTTAAGGGGCTACTGGGGAGTTTCCACTTGATTCATGGGGCAACTTGCGGCATGGCACTAGGTTTTATCGCTTTTCAACCATCACTTGGCTTTGGGGCCCACAAATCCACCAATGTACCCACATTTGGTTGACTTCCAGCTTTGGAAGCTTGCAAACATTGTCGAGACGATCAAACCCCAAAGGTGCCTCACTTGCGTGTCTGCCTTACTTGTAACCTCTAAACCCCTAACCCAAAACCCCTAAACCCTAAACCCTAAACCCCAAAGCCCCAAAACCTCAAGTCCCATGTCAAGGAGCAACGGACGGCGCTGAAGGTCGGCCCCGGGATGCGAGGTTGAGGGCTTCTCCGGGGCTGAAAGAGGGCCTTGGCTTTTTCAAAACAGTGTTTTATAGGGTTTGGGTTTAGGGTTTAGGGTTTAGGGTTTAGGGTTTAGGGTTTTTGGGAGCGCTTTATTATTACAGAAGCCCTTGATAACTAGAATAACCATGGAGTCTTAGAGGGTTTCAGGTCAGAAGGCTTGCTACAGGGGCCTTGGCGAGTATAATAGTGTCTTGATCGTATACTCATACAGCGACGATAAGGAGGATACGAGTACCAGTCAGTCAGACCTCTGTATGAGCAGGGTGCAGATGCTAGAGTTGAAATTGAGGGAATTATAGGGGCCTCCAGATTCATAACTACCTATACTATGTTGGGGGCTCCTTATCATAACTATGGCAGACTATACCCCCTATTCTAGTTATTACGGCCCTTACAACACAGGAGATCTTAGTTGCTGTTAGAGGCCCTAAACCCTAAACCCTGAACCCTAAACCCCAAACCCTAAACCCTAAACCCTAAACCCCTAAACCCCTAAACCCTAAACCCTAAACCTGGAGACCCGGAGCCCTAAGCAGAGGGAGCAGCCGGCTGAGCAGCCGAGCCCTTTTTGGTGCTTCTCTCGGCCCGCGGGTGTCCTGCACCCCGAGTTCGGGTTTAGGGTTTAGG